TGAGACTGGTTCATATAGAGGATCAGGGCTACACTGAGACTGGTTCAGGACCAGATCAAAGTTCCTCACAGTGACTTTAAAAAATCAAAATTAAAAGTGGTCTCTATGAAAAATGTCCTTTCAGAGTTAAATTATGGAGCCTTTACAGATTTATATCTTTTATCTGAAGTTAAAAGTATAAGTATTTGTATTAACAAGTTATCATCGAGTGAAACATCATTTTTTTAGGTTTCGTTATAACTTCATTGCTCTTATTAAGTCCACGATGACGTCATTTAAATCCCAGCAGAGCTTCAGCCTGAAGTCTGATCAGACCTGTGAGTGAAAACACCGTTAATCTGTAACAACGCTGATTTAACTACAGCAGGTACATTAATGTAGTACACTGACATGTAGTGAAGTATACAGTAAACTGGATGTACTTGTATTTGAGTATACTGTACTACATGTACTGGTGCCGTGTGGTACTCTACATACCAGTATTTTAAAGTACTACGTGTGTGTATTGTACTTAATGTTTGCACAGCCACCTTAAGGAAACATCCACAGCTCCCAGACTCTCTGGCTGCTCGCAGTCCTTCACTTCTGCAGAACCCTGAACGCACAGAGAAGAGATTAAAGTCTATCGTGTGTTCCACACAGAACACACGATAGACTATGGATTCATTCAGTCACAAAGTACTTTAACAATCCTATTTGTCATCATCTTTAAATACCCACGTATAGTGCTGTATGTTCTGAGATGATGAATTTGAATTTCTGTCGTTTTTTTAAGAGCGTGAACATCTTTGTGATTCACTTGTTTTAATCTCAGAATAATGTGTGTTCTGATTGAATTCATGTGTTTTATTGTGATGTTTAGATTTGATGCAGCTGTTCCTTTAATGACATCCTTATATAGAAGAGTTTGTTCCTAATAACTCGCCTGGTTAAATAAAGCTTAATAATCCGAGACTCTTAATCCTGTAAGAGACAATAAAAGGAGCCGTTAGCCGTTGAATGCCCCAAATAAAATGAACAAAATGTGTCATTTCTATATAATCCAAAGAATGTCTTTGTTATCTATTAAAGTTTCCCATTATTTAGTCATTAGTTATAATAAACTCATAAAGAGTCTTTACATTCTGCTGGTTAGTATTTGTTCAAATGTATGTTTTTAATATATCCGATCTTGTATCTACACTTTTCTATAGCTTCCTCAAAATGAGTTATTTATTATTCCAACATGATTTATAGTGCACACAAAACTACGTTTTTAAAATCCCAAATGTTTGTTATGTTACTTACTGACTATAAATCACAAATGTTTGTTATGTTA